AAGCAATAAATATTATTTTGAAATAAATAGTTTTGCATTTTCCAATTAATATAAATTTTTATTATTTTGAATTAATATTTTCGAATTAATATTATAATATTAAATAATATTATTTTGAATTAATATTATCGTAAAATCTCTATATAATTATATACGTTCCGAAACTTCAATTACAAAGCACAATCATTAATATTCTGAATTTCTTAGTAATCCTTGAGAATCTTTTCCCTGATTCTTTTTGAAATCGAAAAACAGAAATACAGATTCAATTTTACTTCTCAAAAGATACATTTATGAAAAACAAACGATAGTATTACTAAAATAGGAGTATTAATGATGGAGATATTCGTTTAATGCTTCTTTTTCTTCTTATTCTACATGATACCGCAAAAAAAAATCCCAGATAATCTCTGTTATTTAAAATCCCAGAAAATATTTACTACGGAAAATTCTAGAAAATATCTCCCATGGAAAATTTCAAAAAATATCTCCGATGAAAAACTCCAGAAAATATCTTTTATGGAAAACTCCAAACATATATCTACCATGGGAAATTCCAAAAAATATCTTCCACGGAAAATTCTGGAAAATACACTCCGAAAAAGTTTAAAAGGCACCAACTTTCGGACAAGTTCGTCCTGACCAATTCCCAGCCAACTTTTGCACATTATTCTCTTCCAATGCTTCCTGCGTAAGTATGGAATAGGTCATAACAAACAATGTGTTCCATGCAGCTGCTGAGAAATGTTATTGTAGACGTGGGATCAAACGTGATACATTCTTTTAATCATTCATTCCAAAGCAAATTTGGCCATGTCATCGCCAGGAGTCAGGTTACTGCTGGACATATGGTAATGGACAGTGGTCAACGATTATAATGCTTCAACCAACATTTCTTCCATTCCTTCCGCTTTACAATTGCAGAGCAGCAAATATTCCTTTAATTTTAATCATCACACTACTTCGATGCTGCAAATAGCAGTGAATTGGTCGAATTTCAATTTCATATAATATTTACGAATGTATAATTAATAGTAATCAAAAACAGTAACACTGTTTATCTCATTGGGATGCCCAAAATTATTCAAAGGAATGAAGCAAGCAAATCGACAGGTAATGATCGAATGGGAAGAAAAACAAGATACAACTAAATTATGGTAATCACGTGATTTTGATCATTACTAAGCGTGCTCAACAATAAATTAGTTAGAAATAAAGTCATAATTGCATGAAATGTGACAGATAAAAGATTTTCAAATAAGAAAGACTAATGCAGAATCGTTGTGTAAGCGCGACTAGGAACAGAAAACATGACTTCTAGCTTCTAGAAAGGCTTAAGACCATTTCGCCATTCTCGCAGAAGTGCAAGCAATACAAAGTAAAAGAAAATGGTAAAAAAGATGCAAAAAAAATACAAAAAAGTAAAATAAAATACAAAAATGCAATCAATACAAAGCCCATATCCAATCAATATTTATTATAATTCAGCATTGCAGTGTTTTCCTGTCACGATTTGATATTTTTGACACTCATATTTCTTACATCATCAGCAAACTTTTTGAATTCTCGAACAGCCACTGAGAAGTCATGTCGAGAGATGGCATTAAAAATATGCTGGACAAATGGCGCAACAATCTTGTCGCATCTCTGCAAAAGGTTGCATGCTGATGAATGGAACGATGAAGGAAAAGGATAATACGGTAACAATACTCAGATCTGTTCACTGACACGATCACGCATCACACAATCAGGATTTAGTATCAATTATTATTCTTACCTTCAGTTTTTCCTCTCTAATAGCTGCGATCGCACGCTGAATACATGGTGGTCGAACCCGTTTTACTTCATTTATTGAAATATCGGTTGGTAATTTGCCTTGAAGCAGTATCTCTGGCGGTTGTAGAAGTACGATCATAACATCTCTTAGTTGCACATCCGACCATTCCGATAGACAATAATCAGCGCCATATACTCCAAAGATGAACGGTAAGTATACTTCCTGTGGCAGGCATCGTCCACAGTTAATGATATAAGCTAAATTGGACTCTAATTAAAGTGGTCAGGAAAAAAAAAAGAATTCCGCATATAATGAAAGTTTAGATATGAGACTCCTTAATGATAAATGATGCAGAAATACAACCTAATCTTGGATATTTTTACGATTGCCCGTCAACAGAAACTAATGTCTTCAGTTAATTCAGAAACCAAAAACAGCTCAAATGGCATCAAAAAGACATCACGGGAAATATACGTCTACAGGACGGAAGACGAACCGTTCATAATCAGATATTCTATGCGCTGAAATCGATCCAATAATTGAGCTGCGAATATTTGCCTCAGAACAGAACCTATCGGAGGTAAATTCTGCTGTGACATTTGCTGTATTCCGTCATCCTGTTCTGTCATCTGAAAATGTCATCTTTTCTAATGTCTTTTCATCTTTCGTGGACTTTTTTCAAGTATAAACCTGTGTGCTTACTTCTGCGGGACGAGTAACCGGCACAAATGCTGAGTTTTCCTGCGATAAAATATGGAGAGCGGAATTTCCTGGGGATGAAGCAACCGGAGTGGAGTTTTCTTGGGATGGATTAGCAAGAGCGGGATGATTTTCTGAGGTTAAAATGAAAGGGGCAGAATTGTTCCCCGTAACTTCCGGAGTATTTGCATGTTCATTTACATCTGGTGCTGTTTCTCCAGTATATTTATATCCCAATGTTGTTTCGCCTGAAAAGGCACAGTGATGTTACCGTATCATTTGTTGACATTTAACAGAATATGCTGAAAAAAATCGATACAACTTGCCTGTCTCTCCCGTCTTTTCTTCTTTCAGAATCTTCAGTGCAGAACGACCTGTAATTTCTACAATTGATAATGGTATAATTTTAATGACAAATGAAAGACAGATTCAGTTGGGAAATCCATGAACTCACCAGTTACGTTTCGTCTTCTTTTGTTTATGACACGTAAGTAGTCTTCTTCAGTATTGTCATGATTGTGCTCTTTGTGGAATGATGAAATTCGAAGACATCCATTTGTTGTGTCAGCATTCAAACGAAATCTGGCTTTGCAACCCAATGGAAGATAACTTTGATTTGGACGTTGACCGA